CAGTGGGTTTAAGTTTTTGTGGATGTGGATAGGTGTGGGTATGTGTAGATGTAGGTGGGTATGGGTAAATGTGGATGTGGATAGTGTGGGTATGTGTTGATGTGGTTAGGCATGGGTGTGGGTTGGTGTATTTGTAGATGTGGGTGGGTATAGGTATATAGTGATGTAGGTAGGTCAGGATATGTGTGGATGTGGATAAGTATAGATATGTGTGAGTGTGGGTTTGTGTGGATGTGGTTAGGTGTGGGTTTGTGTGGCTGTGGGTAGGTGTGGGTTTATGTGGATATGGATGGGTGAGGGTTTGTGTGGATATGGATGGGTGTGGGTTGGCATGGATGTATGTTGGTATGGGTATGTGTAGATATGGGAAGGTGTAGATATGTGTGGATATGGATGGGTGTGGATAGGTGTAGATATGTGTGGATGTGAATGTGGATGGATGTGGATATATGGTTCTAATGGGTATAGGTATGTGTGGATGTGGGTGGGCATGGGTATATATGGATGTGGTGTGGGTAGGTGTGTGAATTTATGGATGTGTGGGGTTGGGTGTGGATGCATGAATGGGTGTAGGTAGGTAGGTGTGTGTGTGGGGGTTATGTTTAGGTAGATGTTTGTGTGGGTCTGTTTGGGTATGTGTGGATATATGCATATATGTAGGTCTGTAGGTGTGGGTGGGTAAGGCTGTAGCGGTGGCTGTGAGTGCTTGCTCATGCAGGTAATCATACAAGTGCATATTGCAACAAAAGATGTCTGCTAAAGGCAACAAGGACTGTTCTTTCACAATTTGTAAATATGATCTTTATTTTCAATACTCAAATTCTAAACAAAAACTGAATAACAAAACAATTATTAAATACTCCCAAAGCACCATCAATGGATTTCAATAGCTTCTCTCATTATCATACTTGCAGTGACCTGATATAGCATACTACCTTAAGTCCAACATGATAGTGGTGCCATATAAAAGCCACTCCTGCACCTTCGACATACTGCTCTTCAGCATGACTATCAAACCTTTGCCACATATACTCTGCTAAGATCAAATTTAGACACACTCATAAGATAAAGTGCGAAAGAGGTCTCCCAAGATAGTCTGCCAGAACACACTTGGTGCCGATCTCATAGCTTTTTCTGGAGCACTAAAAGGCGTGAAAACTGTGGAATCAGCAGGAGCCATTAGGACCTTTTCTAATTATTTACTGAACAATTTACTGCAAACAGACATTCTTCAGTACAGCTGATGTAACTTACAACAAAAAGTCTATATAATGAAGTTTATACAGTACAATAACCACTTAAAATTTAAATACAAGGGAATGGTTTTGTGGTAAATATACTAGCCAGTTATACTCAACACTCATATGAACATTAAAAATCCATTTCACAAATTTTGAACATGATAGTTTATAATGGGACTGAGACAGAAAAGTACAAACTTAGTATAATCTAAAATTAATAATAATAATCTGCAGTTAACCCTTATATCAACTACAAATTAACATAACACAAAACATAATTGAAAGATACCAACTTATGAAAAAAAAATACTTAGCATAATTATTAAGCAAAAAGCATTAATGTTCTCTTTCTACCCAATTTCTACAAACCAAGCCACGACCAAGCAGCACTTGCAGATGCCTTTTTACTTTACCCTCAGCGCCTCCAATCACTGCTAGGGAACCTTCCCAGGGACATACGAAACCCACAGTTTTTCGATACAGTCACTCGAGGGTATACAAATATCAACCTCGGCAGAGTTCCAGCACAACTTTTCCTTATTTCACTATAATCCACTTTATTATCTCAAACAAGTCTGCACTCCTACAAATCTGTGTACCCCCAAGAGGCCTCTCGGTGGAGGCTGCAGCACCTATGACGTCAAGGCAAAGCAGTGACTAACTTTCCTCATGCAAGTAACCCTGACCCATGTCCCCTTCGCACACCCTTCAAGTCCCAGAGGTCACCTTCTACCAAGATCAATAACCTCTCAGAGGACACAAAGGGCACAAGCCTCATGACTGTTCTTGTAAAAAAGGTGAAAAAAGACATACTTTCTGTTATGAAATTCCACTCACATCTGCTTAAGCTAGTTGACGAAATAGATGGACCAATTGAGTCCTCATAATACTCTCTTTTTAGGGGATGTCACTAGGCTATTGTCCCTTTTTGTTGACATACAGTGCTTAGCAACAGCGAATATTACTTAATCCCTACGAATTATTTATAAAACCATGGCAAAAAAGGAACGCCCTTGAGACAGCTCCCGCGAAACCTCTGAGGCTCGACCTTATCTCGAATTTAAAGAGGCTCACCGACCTTGACATAGGCCTATGTCGCGGGTCACGTAGACTCAAACCGCAGCCTTATCATCCTATTTCATCATCTGTCAACGTTCAGCTGCCGCACACATTGCCAAGGTGTTTCTCCCAGTAGATGTCACTTACTAAAACTGAGGATAAAACCTTGTCAAAGTCACCTTTCGTGACCTTGCCAGCCCAGCAACACCGCATCCCCACCGCGCCTATTTCACTCCAAAAACACCCCAGAAATCTCGTATATTACAAAACTCCGAGCCTGGAGTGCCTGCTTGACTTACCTTCTTCACGAAGGCTCAGGCCTCACTCACAAACCCGGCAGAAATGGCCAGGAGATCTATTTATAATCTTGGCTGCCCGCGTCCAGCCTGCGCGAGATATCCGGGCGCGTCGTCTGCTCTCCAATCAGCTGCTCGGACGCCCTCGGCCTCTGCGGCTCCTTCTGACGCTGACCCCGGCTTATTTCCTACGGTTTATGGTGCTTGCCCTAGCTTATCTAACGAATAATAAAGGAGGTTGGGACGTTGACCTACCTTAGACGATGTGCGAGAGGACACTGAAGGTGACCTTGTACTGGAGGTACGATACTAAGCCTCTGCGCATGACAATCTCGGAGTTGCGAGGTCCCATTTACCCTTTAGGTCTTTCCTTACGCCTCCTGAATGAGGGAGTTTGTAGCGCACAGACCTTATATCAGAGTTTAGCAAAAAATCGTGATAGATAACTTGATGTTTTTATCCTATAAGAACTATCTGTTTCCGGCATTTTGTCCCAACGTTTGTAGAAATTAGTTATCGAGCGCTGCCTTTGTGTATGATGCAATATGTACGGTTCTCTAGTGCAACAATTTCGTGTCGGCTTATCGAAAAAATACACCTCATTCACTCTGCTTTTAAGTACAGATATGATCGTATAGCTATATTTGCTTCAGGTTTTATACAAATCACGCCTACACATATTCCAGAAGAAAATAGCAAAATACATCAATAAGAACATGGCATCTCATGAGCAATGGAAGAGAAAAATCCACGTGAGGTTATTCACGTCTCTGAGATAGGAGGGATGATCTTACAGATTAACAATTTCCTCTACGTGTTTTGGGGGTTTGATTTCAGTCTGACAAAACGAGTGTTGTTCATCTCGATTCTGTATCAATGGCATAGTTATAATTCTGATAATCTACATCTTATCTGATCGTTACTTGACCGTAAAGCTACGAAATGTTATGGGAAAAAACAGTGTCAGGCGGCAAAATAATTCATCATGGGAATTACTATTAAGATTTTATAAAACAGTAAGAACTCGATTCAAATTTCTTTCCATGACACGTAATTAACCTTTTGTCCCATACACAGAGTAACAACCTCGCACGATGAAAACTGAAACATCTCTACATGACCAAAAAAAAAAAAAGAATCCGTAGATTACATAAGCCCATCTTAAAATGCCCAAACTGACGTTATATTATCTTCTTGATACCAATCAGAAAAGAAGAAACTTCCTTTTTTTACAGATTTACCATGCAAGATTATCCCTTTTCTTTCTAAATTCAAATTAATGAAACACACCACCAACAACAAAATAAAGACAGGAAGCATGAACGGGAGCGCTTATCTTCAAGCCTGAGTCTTAAACAAGTGTTCAAAGGAAATAGACGAAACTGACAAAAAGAGAATTATGAAAAGAAGAAAGAAAAAATGCAATGATAAAAACTATTTAAGCACATGAAATAATGAATTTGAGAGGGATGTCGAGAGAGAAGTGATTATCAAATAATGACAAGATTACAGATAGCATGAGACAGAAATTCAAGAAACGGAGATGGGGTTGGGGGTACATAGGGGGTGAGAGAGAGAGAGAGAGAGAGAGAGAGAGAGAGAGAGAGAGAGAGAGAGAGAGAGAGAGAGAGAGAGAGAGAGAGAGAGGAGAGAAGAGAGACAGAGACAGACAGACAGACAGACAGAGAGGCGCGGACACAACACATTCACAGGCAGCCAAGGGTGATAAAAAAAAAAAAATAATAATAAAGAAAAGAAAAAAACAGATGACAACTTGTTGCCTGAGTGCCTCGAGGTATATACCATCAGCGTTTCACATCGAAAATGACAGCTTAAAAAGGACAATCACACTAAGATATTATTACGTTTTTTTTCGTTTCTTTTTTTTTTTTTCTTTACCGGAGTGACGAGTCGAGGAGGTTTGCACGTACGCTCCCTGTCTCAGTTTGAATCCATGTCTTCTGTGTGGAGGTCGGCAGTGATAAATGAATAAGAAAGAAATCATGTTTCATCAACAGTTTGCTCTTAGATTGTTGCTTGATGTTATATTTTGATTGGTCTGTAGAATTTCATTAAATTTTGTCTGTGCCATCTTTACTTCTCTCTCTCTCCTCTCTCTCTCTCTCTCTCTCTCTCTCTCTCTCTCTCTCTCTCTCTCTCTCTCTCTCTCTCTCTCTCTCTCTCTCTCTCTCTCTCTCTCTCTCTCTATCTATCTATCTATCTATCTATCTATCTATCTATCCATCTATCTATATCTCCCTCTATAATTTTCTTTCTAGTGCTCTCTTTCTCTCATCTTATCAGCTTATCAATGTCTTATCTCTTTATAACCAACCATCTCTCCCTACCTTCCACCCATATCAACTTGCATATAGACTTGAAATCTTACATATCTATTAATCCC